TATAATTTTTTATTTATTTATTACATTATAATATACAATGTATTTATTTTTTGTTATAATTAGTAAATTAGAATTTTAAATTAGATGATATTATAAGACAAATTTCATATTTATTATTATTTGTATAGTAAAATGATTATAAAATATAACCCAATAATTATAATTTTAATGTATAATATTGTACTTAGTTAGGTTGTAATAATTTTGGACTAGTAAAGAGAATTACTAAATGTTTGATGTGATACTAATTTCACTTTATATGAAAAAATTATTATTATTTAATCTTATAATATGGAAGTGTTTGTGATATATTTAAATTATTTTGATATAATATTGTATTATTATATCATAATTAATAATTATACAAACATTCAAATACGAAAACAACATATCGGTATTCACCTATATTTGCAAAGTAATAAAAGTACATAATACACCACTCCTAATTTCTTTTATAAATTAAAAAAATACATTTTTTACAGAATTATGATGATTTTTTGAAAAAACTTTTGAGACAAAAATTGTCGATTAGGCCAATTCTCTTATTCGACAAGATATGAGTGTGACCAATTCAAATCACCAATCCATTTTTTTAAACCTTGTTCAACTCAAGGCAATTCCTCGGCTCGAGGCCCTTTAGAACCGGGGACTCAAACTTCGGTGGACTGATCCGACCCGGTGGTTTTAGATTTTTATGATCCTGCTGATTATGATCTCATCCCAAAGGTAAATGGATTCCCTCTCAAACAAAACACATGGCTATTCTAACAATTGCTTTTCTATGTCATCCTCTTTTTAATGTTTTGAGTTTTAAATTTTTTTGTCAGTTGGAAAATGATTTTGGAGCCATCATAGAGATCCAGAGCGCTAAATGTACTTTTCGGATGAGGATTTGAGGTGAGGTTTATTTGTTTTTATAAAGCTTAGGCCTTATAGAAACCTCATCAAAATGGTTTGATACATTTGCAGCTTTATCAAAATAAGTAACTCGCCACCTCATAATTCATCGAAAATTGTAATTCTAACGATTGGAAAACCTTACATTGATTATCTCGATTTGAACATTATGGTTGTGAAAAAAAATTAGGATTTCAAACTCTAAAAATAATACATATTATAACAAATTATTTAGTTCGTCTATTTTTTTAAAAAAATAAATGTTCATGGATCTGAAAGATCTGTACTATTTTTTTACTTTTAAAATTTATTTTCGGTGCCGGAAATTTATTTTTGAATCATAGAGATTTTCATTGCCGAAAGTACTTTTTGGATGAAGATTTATCATTGCCCAAAGTACTTTTTGGATGAGGATTTAAGTTAGAGGTTATATTTCATTTTCACATAGCCTAAACCTTATAGAATAAAATATTAAAAAAGAAAGAAAAGAATGAAACATATTAACAAATAAATAAAAAACAACATAACCTATGCATCTAGTTTATATCGAACTCATAAAAACAGCTCATTCCAGCCTCTCGAGGCCGACCCCTATTTCTCTATGATGTTTTCGAAACAGCTTAGCTTTATTATAAAAAAAAAAAGGTAAAACCAAAAAACCCCATCCTTTTTCCATAATGACGGATACATCCGTCGTACGAAAATGTGAGATTTTGTGGTTAGACTTGATCCACCTCATTAATTTTTTCTCTCAAACTTAAAACTTGGAATCAGTAATCTCTCTACGGGGAGTAATTAATGTCTCTCTCTCTACCTTAGAGTCCAAAAGTTGCATATAAAAGCATTACCATCGTTATTATAAACTGGTTTTAGTCATAATTATTTAAGGTCAGAGAAATATCAAAGATGTAAATTTCGAAGGTGTGAATTTGAAATTCTATAAACAATGTACTATTTATGAACACTCGAAATTGACATCCTAAAAAGCATTTTATAGCCTAGAAGGCATTTTATAAGAGACTTTGAAATCCAATATTTTTTTTTTTAGAAAGCATTTTATAGCCTAGAAAGCATTTTATAAGAGACTAAGTTTAAAATTTGAAATCCATTGTAATAAAAGTTGATCAATTTAGGTCTGTTCGGGGCTTTAAACATTAAAGCATTCGAAATCCCTTTCAAAGGTCCGTCCCGCCTAAACAACATCTCTAGAGGGGTGGGCTAAAAAACCAGTCCTAGTTTTTATGGCCGCTCCCAAGATTTGAACCTGTGCTCTTGCACTTGCTATCCGAGCATTTTACCGTCACACGTCGTGAGGGGCCCTTATTTTAAATCCCTTTCAAAGTATTTGAAATCTCTCTCTAAGAAATATCAAATAACTCTATTTGGTTTTTGACTTTAAAATTGGAATATCTCTATTTAGAATGTCTTCCTCTCTCTCTAGAATGAGTCAGCAAAAAAATTCGATTAATTTTATTTATTTATTTTGCTGGGTAAAACCAAAAGGAAAAAAGAAAAAAGTGAACATAAACGTCAGAAGGAGCTCGTCTTACGCTGATGTTTCTCCCTCCCTCCCTCTAAAACGTTTCTCTCTCTAAACAAGCAACTAAACGCTCTCTCTCTCTCTCTCTAGAACAATTCCATCTTTCTCTCTCTCTAGAACAAGAGGAGCAGCTGCACGGATAGAGAAACAAAAACAGTGATTGAGATTGAGCACTCCAATGCAGATTCAGAAGCAATATAAGTCTCAGGTAAGGCTTTCTTCTCATCGTGTATTTTGCTCAACATTTTTGCCCTAAAAGAAAGAGAAACGGGATGGTTTCTTCTATATTTTGCTCATCGTTTATTTTGCTCATCATTTTTGCCGTAAAATAAAGATGTAGATTTAGAGAACCCTAGGAAAATTCATTGCGAGACTAGTGTGCGTGATTATTGCGGTTTCTTGTGGATTCAAATTAAAGAATTAGGATTTCTGGTTCGAAAACGTGGAGAAAAACTGTGCCACTAATTGCTGTTTTGTTGGGTTAGGTTGAATGCAAATGATCTTGAAGTGAAATATTAGGGTTTTGGGATGAGAAGCTGTTCAGGGAATTAGGGTTTTCCTGGTCTGATTTTCTCTTTGAAAAGTTGAGTTATTGTTGAATTGGGAATTTGCATTTACTTCTACATTGTTTGATTTAGAGTTATCGATTGGATAAGGAGTTAGAATATGAGTTCAGAGGTGTAACACGCATGGTTTTCATCGATTTCATGGTCCAAGGTTAATTTTCCATTGATCGAACTGGTTATCTTGGGTTTCGTGGTTCTCTCTCTCTGAAGCTTTCTTGATCAGAAGGAATGCAGACTAAACCTAAGAGAAAAACAGTTACAGAGAATGGAGATGGAGGTGATGAATTGGCTTTGGCCACTGCTATTGGTAATGGTGAAGATTTGGCCCCAATTGTTCGTCAAGCCTTTGAGTTTGGGAAGCCTGATGCCCTACTTTTGCAGTTGAAATCCTTTGTCAAAAAGAAAGAAGTCGAGATTGAAGATCTCTGCAAACTTCATTATGAAGAATTCATTCGAGCAGTTGATGAGCTCCGAGGGGTTTTGGTTGATGCAGATGAGCTCAAGAATGGCCTCTCTTCTGAAAATTATAGGCTTCAAGAAGTGGGTACCTCTCTCTTAGCCAAGCTTGAAGCCCTACTGGATGCCTACTCAGTTAAGAAGAACGTCACTGAAGCAATGAGGCTTTCAAAATTTTGCGTTCAAGTAGCTGATTTAGCAGCAAAATGTAACAAACATATTGCTAGCAATAACTTCTACCCAGCTCTGAAAACACTGGACTTGATAGAGAGAGACTATTTGCAGAGAATACCGGTTAGGGTTTTCGGCCAACTTCTCGAGAACCAAATTCCCATTATCAAAACCCATATAGAGAAGAAGGTTAGCAAAGAATTCAATGACTGGCTTGTTCAGGTAAGGAGCACTGCAAGAGAAATTGGGCAACTGGCTATTGGGCAAGCTGCTTCAGCTCGACAAAGAGAAGAAGAGCTTCGAGCTCGACAGAGACAAGCTGAGGAGCAAAGTAGATTGGGAGCAAAGGATTGTGTTTATGCCCTTGATATAGAGGAACCAGATGAGGGTTCAGTTCTCAAATTTGACCTAACGCCAGTTTATCGAGCCCATCACATCCAAACCTGCTTGGGCTTACAAGACCAGTTTCGAGATTACTATTACAAGAACCGAATGCTCCAGCTTAACTCTGACCTTCAAATCTCATCTACTCAACCTTTCTTAGAGTCCCATCAAACCTTCTTTGCCCAAATTGCTGGTTATTTTATAGTGGAGGACAGGGTTTTAAGAACAGCAGGCGGTTTGCTCTCGAATTCTCAGGTTGAAACCACTTGGGACACTGCAGTTGTAAAAATGACCTCAATTTTAGAGGACCACTTTTCTCGAATGGATACAGCGAGCCATCTTCTTTTGATAAAAGACTATGTGACACTTTTGGGTGCTACCTTAAAGCGGTATGGGTACCATGTGGGTCCTTTGCTAGAGGTCTTAAATAACAGTTGGGACAAGTACCATGAGCTCCTCTTTGAAGAGTGTAGGAAGCAGATAACTGATGTGCTTGCAAATGATACCTATGAGCAAATGGTTATGAAGAAAGAGTACGAGTATAATATGAATGTCTTGTCTTTCCATCTTCAAACCTCAGACATAATGCCAGCTTTCCCTTATATCGCTCCATTTTCAGCTACTGTTCCTGACTGTTGCAGGATTGTGAGGTCGTTTATAGAGGACTCGGTGAGCTACTTGTCATATGGTGCGAACATGGATGTCTACGATGTTGTGAAAAAGTATTTGGACAAGCTCTTGATAGATGTTTTGAATGAGGCTTTGCTCAAAGCTATCTATGGCAATACGAGTGTGGTATCTCAAGCAATGCAAATGGCTGCTAATATTACCGTTTTAGAGAGAGCATGTGATCTTTTCCTTAGGCATGCTGCTCAACTTTGTGGGATCCCAGTAAGGCTTGCTGAAAGGCCCCATGCCTCTCTCTCTGCTAGAGCAGTCTTTAAGACCTCTCAGGACGCAGCCTACCATGCTTTGCTAAAGCTTGTTAACTCTAAGTTGGACGAGTTCATGGCTTTAACTGATAGTATCAATTGGACCTCAGATGAGGTCCAACAAAATGGAAATGAGTACTTAAACGAGGTCATAATTTATCTCGAGACGCTTCTCTCTACTGCTCAACAAATCTTGCCCCTAGAGGCTCTGTACAAGGTGGGAAGTGGGGCTCTCCAGCACATATCAGATTCAATTGTTGACACCCTTTTGAGTGACGGTGTTAAGAGATTTAACCTAAATGCCATCTTGGGTATTGACAATGATTTGAAGGCATTGGAGTCGTTTGCTGATGAGAGGTTCCAAAGCACTGGTTTGAGTGAGGTGCACAAAGAAGGGAACTTGCACGATTGCTTGATCGAGGCTCGCCAGTTGGTAAACCTTCTAACGAGTTCTACACCTGAGAATTTCATGAATGCTGTTATAAGAGAGAAGAACTACAATGCTTTGGACTATAAGAAGGTGGCTTCCATTTGTGAGAAGTTCAAGGATTCACCAGACAGGCTGTTTGGGAGCTTGGCGAGCCGGAATTCAAAGCAAACTGCACACAAGAGGTCAATGGATGCGTTGAAGAAGAAATTGAAGGACCTCAGCTGATGAATTTGCCAGGTGGAAGGATGTTCTTAGAGGATCCTTAAAGTTCATTTATTTTTATTTACTATTTATACCCTTTTGAAATAGATCTGTTTTTGTATGTAGGAATTTTTGGCATTAGGCTGCCATCGTTGTTTGTTTATTTCTGGGAAATTTGGATGCTTTCCCGAGTAGTGTTGACCCTGTTTTGGCATGTTATTTCGGTGGTGCAAATTGGATGTGCATTTCTTAGTATATGTATGTAATTATTTAGATTTTATAATTATTTAGATTATCTGAATTGGCATCTACATACAATCTTGTTATTTTTCAGTAAGATCATTTGTGTGTGTGTGCGTGCGGGCGCGTGTGTGTGTTCACCTTTCCAAAATAGTCGTGGGAGGCAAGGCACACAGGGGATAGG